GAGAGAGAGAGAGAGAGAGAGAGAGAGAGAGAGAGAGAGAGAGAGGCCTGGAAGGGAAGAGGCCAGGATGTTGAGAGTGAGATGCTGTCAGGACGGCTTCACACAGCTCAACAGCTCTCTAAAGCAGGATCAGCAGAGCAGACGGCCTCTTTATAGCACACAGCACATTCCCATTAGTGCGCTGCCTTCCGGCCACACTCAACCTCACTTAGCTGGAGATAATAAACCGGTCCCAGCAGTTCTCAGTCAGCGCTATGGGTCGTCTAAAGGGGTCACTTGTTTGCTCAAAGACTGACACAAGACTGCTCTGGATTAGAGCAGGGCTGGTGGTGGGTGGGGGTGAGTCGGGGGGTTGTGTCCTTGAAATAAAAACAGATCTTGACCTCGAGCTATGCGAGCCTGCTGGTGGAATTCCCCTCACTGCCATCCAGACTGGACCTAGCAGAGACACTTCGCCTGCAGACTGCACAATCTGTTATCTCACAGAAACAGCAGATCCAGACTATTCACCCAGATTCGGGGGGGATTACTGCCATAATTCCTGCACAGCAGTGTCCAAATCCAAGGAAAATCCCCCAAAGATGCTCATTTGCAGGTCGTCAGTCATCTAGTGTTTTTATTTTTTTTTGTCAGGGGGGGTTGTTGCTGTGTTCACACTGGATTACCAAGAGCACATGGCTACGATATGAAGCATGTGACACTGGTTGCTAATACACAACATAAAACTTGCTCCATAATAAATATGTGACCCATCACATCGAAACGAGGATTAAGTCTAAACATTGTATGTGGAGAAATAGGCGGATATAGTGTTCTGATTAAAACACTTGCAAACATTACATTTTGTCAAAATATAGCAAAGAAATGTGTTATCAATGTATCATTTCAATCAACTGTCTGATATATTTTCCTAAAAAAACTTTTTGAAGCACTTTTATGAGCATTAGCAACCAAAAACCAGATTCTGAGGAAAAACGTCTTAAAATGTTGAGATTTTCCCTGTGAGCTATCAACGCTTTTGTTTCTTTCCAGATGGGAAATCTCAATATTCAGTTACTATTTGAGGTTTCTTTTTCAAATGACATGAAAAAAAATTCTCATTAAAATTACTTAGGATTTAGACCAAATATTTGTGTATTATTGTAACCAACAAGACAAATTAAATAATATCTCTGGGTCTACTAAGGATATCAGGATGATCTAAGTATCAAAATGTAGCTTTTAAAGCAGGAATCTGAAAATATGATTAGGTCATTTTGACCAAATTTGACTTAATCCTCATTTTGATGTGATGGGTCACATATAAGCAGAATTTCCACTAAGTGGGTTCATTTCTTCAGGTTCACAGAAAGGGCCTAAAAGTTCAAGTGAACAAAATGCCCACAGATTACAGGATGATGGATAAAGAAGAAAAGATTGAGAAGGCTTTCTGTGGCAAATATTTATTTTTGGTTTTAACTTCCAGAGCGACAGAACAGGTGAAGCTATTTGTCCCGGCAGTTGACATTCTTTACGAAACATGCCACACAATTCATTTTTGCAGCTCTGCCTGTCTGTGTGGACAAATACACTGCTCAGAGATATTTTAGCCCTGTGAGGAGGGAGGGAGACAAGGAGTCCGGCACCTTTTGTCTGCGGGCAGATGGCCACTTGTCTCTTACAGAAGAGCAGGGAGGGAAAAGACACAAAAGGTGAACCGCACCAACAACAAGCTCTGCTTTCTTTGCGCTGGCTTTTATTCCAGAGGGGCTTTGTGAGTTCACAGCTGAGTGAACTGAAGAGCACAGTAAGACAACAGTGCACAACTCCAACCCAAAAATAAAAAAAATAAAAAAATAAAAAGCCTTGACAACACAACAAATGGAAAAAATGCTCATACTGTGAGAGAAAAAAGGAGCAAAGTGACACTTTTGTCCTCGTGTTGTAAATTAATCTTTGTTCTGAAGTCTGAGACTGAAAATAAATGAGCATTTTTACAAGTCTGAAAATGTAAAATTGACCCTGCTGTTCAACAACAAAAACTAAGAGTCTAGCATTTCTTGAAGAAAGGAATTCATGTCTAGCATGTCCCATTTTAAACAAAAAAAATTTGTCATCTGTTTGCCCTCAGGATATGTTTTGGGGATGATTCACAACTACTACGGCACCAAATATAGGCTCAGTGGGCCTCATGCAAGAACCGTTCGTACGCACAGATTTGTTCTTAAATTGTGCGTACRAGTGATTTAGAAGAATTTGTGGCATTCACCAATGTTTTCGTATTCTAAGATTTTTTCAGATACGAACAAAATTCACGAGTGGTCCAGACCTGTCGTATATTTTACGAGCAGTCAGTCTACTGTTATCCAGATGGATTTTCTTCACTAATAACTTTATTTTTCGTTAGTTTGAAGATATTTTGAGTTGAAAATAAATYACACTCCATAATTATGTTGACAATAGGTTATTCTGCTTGAATTAGAGTTAAAATTTTAAATGTAATAATTTAGACTAACAATATAAATTGTCCGTTCGTCCATTTTCCGCTGCTTATCCAGGATCCGGTCTCAGGGGCAGCAGCAAAGAGACCCTGCTCTCCCCAGAGACACTTTCCAGCTCGTCCTGGGGGACACCGAGACGTTCCCAGACCAGCGGGGATACATAATCCCTCTAGCAAGTCCTGGATTTTCTCCAAAGTGCCAGACTTATTTTGAAAACATTTTAAAATGCTTATTTCAGAACCGCAACTGAGACCACTTGAGACCGCGCGGGGGTGTACGGTGCGTGACGGTGTGGCTTCTGAATAAATGAAAATGATTTAACACAGTTGTTTATACTTTTAGCAGCTCTTTTTCTCCCACAGCTGACCTGCTAAAAATGACAGATTTTCTTTTCTGGATCTCTGACAGACGGACTTCAATCTCTGAACTCGTAAAGTTCTTCTTTTTAGTTTTCACTGTCATTTTCATGAATGGACACTTCCTGATATCTGAGGCAGGAAACATAGCCTTATATGGTGTTTTTGGGGTGGTAATTATGCTAATCTCCTCTCGCGTGCACGAGCAGCTGGATAGAACAGGTGGAATTTACGCAGCTCATTTACGCACGTTTCCTGAAGATAGAAGAGTTTGTTGAATCTGGCGTGACATGTTCGTACGAACCCTTCGTAYGWACAAAAGTAAGAGAAATTTAGGATAARAATACAAACATGTTCTTGCATGAGGCCCAGTGTCTGTAAAACTGATTGAGTTATAACCAGTGTTGCTTTTAATAAGATTGGTCAGCTGTGGCAGCCATCTTGAGTCCGGTTGACGTCAACATTTAATCARTTATAAAAGTACATCTGATGATACATTTCTGAGAGTTTCATTAAAATCCATCCTCGAGGTCAGGAAATATTTTGCTAACAGACAAACAAACACAAACACAGACACACATATTCAGCAAATGACCTGATTTCCTGGCTTTTAATAGCAGGGTTTTTAACAGCTTGTTAAAGCCTCAGCTTTTAGTATCGGGGTAAAGAAGATGAAGAGGTTGATGAAGTCGAGGACAACTTTTCACCTCCCGGTAGCATTTTAATTACACGAGCGCTCACAGTCGAGGCCTTATACAGGTATCAGCCCGACCCTGAGTAAATACAGGYTCATTTGGACTACACAGTGAGGCTACTGTGGCTGTCAGGCCTCGGGGCGTGTCTGTGTGTTTTGTACACACAAAGTTCAAAAAGCGAGCAAAGACCTGAGCCGAGAGGCCGGGTCCGTGCTTCCAGCATCTCTGAGCCGACGCCGGAGAGCGTTCCTTTGGAAAGTGACAAGCAGGTGGGTTTTAGAGACRCCTCCATTATCTCAACTGTCACTGACTGAGGTCCTCAAGAGCAAGTCTGGCAGGAAGAAGATATTGTCAGTTTAACAGACTCAGCTCGACGCCTGACAATCTGACATTTAGCAACAGATGTGCTCCACAGTCGCTGGAAAAGGCAGCCGGTAGAGTTAAAATCATCAAAAGCAGCTGAAAATCCCCCACAGAAGAACACTGTCTGACAGGTTTTAATGGCTCTGTACTCAAGTCAGACTTCAGACGCCCGTTAAAGGGGCAATATTATGGTTTCTCAGGCATACATTTAAATACTATACCATAACAAGGTATCTATGTCACCTTTAGTTGTGATTAAAATGCTGTTTTTATGTCWAAATAGAAAATAAAATTAYCTTCTCATCACTTCCTCTTCTAAACGCCTTGAAATTGGCCTCTGTCTCTTTAAGAACCACCTTCCGCTTCTGTCCCACCCATTTCAGTGCGTGGGGGGAGGGGGAGGGGGTCGCGCACACGCTATGATGCAGTTTACTTGGCATCTGAAAATACATTTCCTCAAAGGTATTTTGAATCTGAAAAGAGCTTCAGTGAGTGAGAAGGAGGTCAGCAGACAGTTTCAGTTTCACTTTCAGTTTCACCCGTTGTTTGCTTTGTTGCTGGGGGTGGGAGGCTCCGCCATGAGGAATCTCACCTTAAAGACACGTCCCAGAGGTGTTTCTGGCCCCCACCTGTCGTTTTGCTCCTCAGCATGGCTTCCTAAAAAC